TGAGGAGATCGTGCACGCGTTGAGAGTGAAGTGTTTCTCTGGACTATTTATAACTCCATACATGCAGCCCTTCGTACACATGTAGTGTCTGAGTGCTGCAGTTTTTTGCAGACTCAACGATAACCTCACTCCAAATAGTTTACTTCTGAGAAAATGCATGTATTCACACAGGGCATCTTAGAAACAGAAAAGAGGTGTAGTTACAGCGACCAATCGTAGTGTTTTTTGGGGTGGATTCCTCCTTTAAATAACAATGTTTTGATGGACATGTTATCCACTTTTTATCATTACCCATCACCCTCTGCCCCCTCTCTCTATCTTTCTCCCCCCTTTCCTCCAACTTTCCCTCCACGGATCCTTCAATCTCTCTCCCGTCGCGCTGTCACCTTTTCATCCTTCCTCGTTTCCTCCTTCACTTTCTATCCATCCTTCTTCATCTCAGTGCTGTTTTCCCCCCTCCGTCCATCGCTCTGAGTTTTCTGCCTCCATTAGGGGGGAAATGGAAAAAGTGACATCAGCTATTTGGTAAACGGAGAGAGATGGAGGGAACGGGACGAACCCAAGGGTAGAGAGATGGAAAGCAAAGATCAAAAGAGTGACGTTAGGAGGGATTGTGAAAGAGAGAAAAGGAAACAAAGAGGAGAGGAAAGAGTGGCAGGGGTGAGGAAGAGTATTAAAGAGCGATGAAGAGGAGAAAGGGGGGAGGTAGAGATCCATCTATAGACGAGAGTGAGAGGCTTCACCTCATTAACCTAGTAATGCAGGAGTAAATATACAGTCTAAATGGAACATAGAATGTGTGTGTGTGTGTGTGTGTGTAGTGTGTGCTGTGTATGTGTGGTGTGTGTGTGTGTGTGTGCTGTGTGTGTGTGTGGTGTGTGTGTGTGTGTGTGTGTGTGTGTGTGTGTGTGTGTGTGTGTTTACTCCCGGGCTTCTGTGAGTGTGTGTGTGTGTGTTTGCGAAATACATTACCAGAATACCAGAGTGCCTATCTGTGTTTGTATGGTGTGTGTGTGTGTGTGTGTGTGTGTGTGTGTGTGTGTGTGTGGGTGTGTGTGTGGGTGTGTGTGTGTGTGTGGTGTGTGTGGGTGTGTACTGTGAGTGGTGTGTGTGTGTGTGTGTGTGTGTGTGTGTGTGTGTGTGTGTGTGTGAATATATTCCTAAATACCACAGTGTGTTAAATCCCAGAAAGGTGATATTAGATCATGGAAAGATAACGATATGGTATCAGCGTTTTTTTATTTGTTTTTTACACGTGTTTGGCGTCATATTATGTATTATTCAGTGGTGGGAGAAGTACTCAGATCTTATACTTAATAATACCGCAGTGTAGAAACAAGCAAACGTCCTGCATTCATAATGTTATATAAGGACAAGAGTATTAGCAGCAGAATATATAATAATATATATCACTAGACGTATAATTAGTGATGCATTCAGGTGTCTATCTTTCACATTTTGCTGCTGTTAAAGGTTGAGAAATCATTGATAACTTCTTATACTGACAGGTATCTCCATCCATAATATCACATTATAGTTTACTAGTTGCTGCAAAAGTTAGTAGTAACTCATGGTTTAAAATAGATCTAGAGAGTAAAAAGTACAACATTTTCTGCCAAAATGTAGTAAAATAGAAGTAGCATGACATGAAAATACTCAATTACATGTACCTTAAAAATGTACTCAAGTAAAGTACTTGATTACATTTACTTTCCACCACTTGTATTATTTTATATATAATGGAAAAACATCAATGTTTAAGTCTGTCTTTAAATACTTCCTGCCCATTGCTTCTTGTTGGTCTTTTAAATCTTTAAACACAAGTTATATTTTGAGAAAACACTGAGTAACTTCCTAAAAAATATGTCGTTTTTATTAAAATGTCACTCAAAATAGGAAGAAGTAGTGTGTTTATTCAGGGACTATTTTCTGCGGCGGATTAATCCACATGTGTTGCTCTAGTCTGTATTAATCGCATCAGGATGTTGTGTGTGATTGAGTTGGATTAACCTTTGGTATGTGTGTTGTGTGTGTGTGTGTGGTGTGTGTGTGTGTGTGTGTGTGTGTGTGTGTGTGTGTGTGTGTGTGTGTGTGTGTGGTGTGTGTGTGGTGTGTGTGTGGTGTGTGTGTGTGTGTGTGTGTGTATGGTGTGTGTGCTGTGTGTGTTGTGTGGTGGTGTGTGTTGTGTCTGTGTGTGTGTGGTGTGTGTGTGTGTGTGTGTGTGTGTGTGTGGTGTGTGTGTGTGTGTGTGTAATGAATGCTAGGGTTATTGCTTAGTGCTGTTTGGTCAGTCATCCACCGATATTTGGTCCAAACCACATTATTAATGAATTACCATGAAACTGTTTTATTAACATTCATGTTCCCTTGACGGTCTAACCAAGACTTGGTCGGTTGACATTTAAGTGACATATTCGGGCAATTATTGGATGACTCGGCATGCAATTTGGTACAAATGCTTCCCAGAGAAACACTTTTATAGACGTGTGGAGATCCTCTGAACTTTTTCCCTCTTCCGCCACTACAGACCCGGCGCCAGAACAAATCTACAGAGGGCATATGATTTTCATGGGAGGGCACACAAAACCGCCATGTGCCGCGCAATCGCAAATAAATACACAAATAAAGGGCAACATAGAAACCACTTTTGAAACATTGTGTGCGTGGCGGCACAAACACTGGTAACTCATGAGCAAGGCACACATTTGAAATAAAAACATAACAGCAACAGCTTTGCTTGGGCCTTAAACTTGGGCAAATATAATAATACAGAGCGACACCACATTATGCAGTGCGTACTAGCGTCAGCCCCGGGGTTTGCCGAGGTCAAGCTAGAAACATTAAGGCGTGCTGCTGCAACGGCAGGTGCAGGGTCGCCAGCAGCACCATCGGCTGCAGTTCTTTCATCGCGATTTATTTGTAATAAATCCTGAGACATACTCGTGGTTTTAAGCCCATTTCTGATGTCCATTTTGTAATTTAAAACAGAAATGGGAGTCTGCAGAATGCATAATAAAAAACATCCAGAATAGGCGGCAGAGTAGTGTGATGCTGTGATTGGTCTAAATATGGACGAATAACAAATCACAAAAGATACATGAATTTATTTGACGTAGCCTACAATTTTTTTTTTTAGTTACTATCTGACATCACATACATCGTACCATTAAAGTTCAGTTTATTTATAATATTATTTTTAATAAATAAAAAAAATGTGTTTATGGGGAGGGCCTGGCCCTCTCTGGCCCTCCCACGGCACCGGGTCTGTGCCACTATAACATTTGTAGTTTTGAGGGAAATATCTTGACAACTATTGGATGAGTCGGCATGAAATGTGGTACAAATCTTAGTAGAAAAATCATTTTAACACTAGAACCGCCAACGGGTCAATTTTACCTGCAGCTGTTTCTTGATTGTATGTAACTTTTTTTCAATAAAATATTAAAGTCTCCCAGTCCGTGACTTTTCCTGAAAGTGTGTTATGTAGCACCCTCTGTTGTTAAAAATGGTCAATATGAAGTCAGATTGAAAAAATTGCCCTTTATACCTATATCCGCCAGCGGGTAATATTTACCTCATAGAAAATGCAGCGTAAACATGACGTGTTGCTATAGCAACGCCTTTTGTCTACTGCGGTTCCTTATAGATAGAGAGAGAGATTGAGAGAGAGATAGATAGATAGATAGCGAGAGAGATAGAGATAGATAGTTATAGATACAGTAGATAGAGAGAGAGATAGATAGATAGAGAGATAGAGAGATTTGTACCCAAACAAAACACAAGTCTAACACCAAGCGTTTAAATCAGCACTGGTAGCAATATTTTATACTTCATGCTATCTGCACAAACTATATCATATGAAAAGCCGAGAGTCCACAGATTCTATTGGTATAAGTTTCATCCCTGTGCGATCAAAACTCACTGTTCTACATGATAAATAAAAGAACATTGTACCTTGAAAATCAATAGCGGGTACATTTGACGCGTTGGCGGTTTTAGGTATACAGCGACCTCTGGCGGTTCTAGTGTTAAAGCTGATGACTTTTCCTGTACCGCCACCATGAGGTTGACATTTGTGGTTTTTAGTTAAATATCTTGACAACTCTTGGCATATTGTATTAGTTGTACCCTTGGTTCAGACGTTGTTAACTATCCCAAGATCAAGTCGAGAAATAATCATTTTAAAATGATACACACAATGGCTTTAAAAAAAGGCGTTGTCTTGAGGTGGGCAAATTACATTTCAAATGTGGTTCTGAGTGTGTTATTGTTTCCTTGTGACTTCAATCCAATCTGAAAAATATTTATGGGGCTTTAATTTGGTGAAAAGAGACTTTAAGTTCTAGTATCTGAGATTAGTTCTCCTGGTTTCATTGTTTCTGGTACTTTTTGGTCAATAAGGGCTATGAGAGTTTTGTTCCAGATCTGTGAACATTTGTTACAGATGGATCCCAGAGAAATCATTTTAGAGACTTCGATTAACCTCGAATTTTCCTCATGAGGTTGGTGGTTTTGAGTAAAATATCTCAACAGCAATTGAGTACTTGTGGTGTTGTAGTTTCTTCTTGTAAAATGTTGTTGAGTCATATCAATGGGGCTTTGGATTTGGTGGAAACAATAATGTGCAAAAGTGACTTTTATTTCAAGAAGCTTGGTGAAGTTCCCCCGAGTTTCATCGTTACTGGGACTTTAGTACGCTATGTTTGTGTGTGTGTGTGTGTGTGTGTGTTGGTGTGTGTGTGTGTGTGTGTGTGTGTGGTGTGTGTGTGTGTGGTGGTGTGTGTGTGTGTAAAACACCACAGGACAGCAGTCATTATAATACTGTATATTTGCAGTCAGCTCAAACCCAGAGAACAGTGACAGACTGAGATCATCAGGAGAAAAAAATAATAATAATAAAACAAGACTGAATGTTTTTGTTTCTATCTCACGGAATATCCCTTTAACAACCCCCAAATAATCCCACCCCCACCCTGACACCCCCCACCCCTCATCCCTCCCGTACACATTTCAAATAGTAATCAACAAATAACAAACAAATAAACACGCAGTGGAATAAACAAAAACTGGCAACACAACAGTCTGCACTCTTAGTAGGTCAGACAATCAGGGAGTAAAACGTTTCTTGTGTTTCGAGGAGCGCTTGATTTCAACATCTGAAGTACTCTTGCATCGGGGCAGTTTTTAATAAACAAATCAAACTCTCCACGTTGATCATTTCACAAACACAGAAACTCAACATCTTGGTCACGGGAAACAAGGGGTCAAACGGTGAAAAGGAAGAGAATCCAACGTACCTTTTTTTTTTTTTTTTAAAGGATAAAATATCGTGTCTAAAAATCACTCCATTGTCATAAAAAAAAGGGTTTGTTTTTTTAACGTTTTGCATGGTTTGAGAAACAGGTTATTATTATTATTATTATTAGAGGTGATAGAAAATACATTGAAAGCTGCATCCAACATTTTCAGAGTAATGCCTCCTTAAAAAGGGAAAAAGAGAAGTAGAAGAAGCAGAGATAGAAGAGGACGAGGGGAGGTAAAGGAGGGTAAAATAAGCCAAATGACACATAAGAAGTTTTCCCATGCATTCTTTTCAGTCCCTGTACGGAAAACAAAAATGAATGAAACATGAGAGACAGAAATAGCCTCCAGAGTTTTACTTTTTTTTTTACATCCCCTCCCGATATTTTTTTTTTACTCTACACGTCTCAAATCCTGAGCTCCTCTTATTGGCTGATTATCGTCCAATCAGAAGGGAGTAGACAACCAGCCAATGAGGTCAACCAAAGTTTTTTTTAAGTCATTTCAAAAACCGATTCATCGCATCAGTGGACGATGTGTTTTTTTTTTTTTTTTGCCACAAGATGTCCGAACCGAGTTCATTCGTGAAAGCTTGTTGACGTTATTCCGGTACTTTTCCGTTGCTTCCATCGCCTTGTTTTTTATTTATTCTTACCAAAACAAACAAGGTGAGATAAGTCCCAGTGCAGGTAGAGAAAAAGAGGAATGAATGGAGTGGATTTTATCTTAAAAAAAGAAGAAGATAAAGAAGTAGAGACGACCCCAGCGAGTCCAAATCAGGAGTGTTTGTGTCTTCTAGTAGTCTATAGTTTGTTTTGTAGCAACGTCAAAAGTTTTTTAGCAAATGGAATAAATCCCGCCGGGGAAAGTGGTTCGTGATTTCGTGGAAACGGGCTGGTGGAGTTTTCTGTGCAGGAGCGGGGAAAGTGGTAAAGGGGGCGGGGCCCTCAGGAGAGAAGGCGTGGCTTCAGGGAGAGGAGGCGTGGCTTCAGGACGAGGAGGTGTCTTTCTAGAACATCATGGGGGTCTTCAGAAAGGACCGGGAGTCTAGGGACGGCCAAAAAAACACACAAAATTGTTAAATAAAACAACAAATATACATCCTTTTTATGTGATTTTGGATAATGTAAATGGTCTGCAAAGGGTCTAATCCCCAACGCTCCCTTGATTGTTGGTTTATTATACACAAAAGTCCATGTTAATATTCTTGTTTTACCTTCTAACAGCCTGACACCCAAGATTTTTGAAGTTTATCAACATAGGAGTCTACGAAAAATGGCAAATATTCCCATCTGAGAAGCTGGAACGAGTGAATTTTGGGGCACTTTTGCTTTAAAAAACACTGCAAATGGTTTCAGATACATTTTCTATTGATCAACTAATAATTTCGTCTCCACTATTTAGTCACAATTTAATTTGATGCCAGTAAGATTACCCAATTTCTAACATTTTAAAGTGTTTTTTTTCTAGATTTCTGTCAGGTAAACAGGTAAAAGTTTGTCAGGAAAGTGGTGTGTCTTAGTGGTAAACTGACATTTAACATATGTCAAAAATCGGATAAACTGACATTAGTCTCATGATATCAGTAGCTAACATGCTGGTCTAGGAACAACCCATGCATTTAGTTTATTTATATAAATAACCCAACCTTTTCAGTCTTAAAACCCCCGTCGCTGCACATAATACACCCTATCGATCTCTACCTTACAACACAATTTAAATCAGAGGAGCCTCTTCATGTGTATTAACAATGTAGATTTGTCACTGTATATCTAAAGAGCCTCCATTTGTACAGAAACCCCTCGCTCTGCTCATGATTATTAACGCCGGACGTGGGTTTTTAGCTGAATTAGTTGCATGTTGTTCTCCCTTTATGCAGCGTTTATGATACAAATCTCATATCTCCAATTTTGCCCTGGTCGGCCTCTCTCTCTCTCTCTCTCTCTCTCCTCTCATCTCTCTCTCTCTCTCTCTCATTTCACCTCCGTCGTTCTCCTTCCGCTCCCCGTAAGTGCTTAACTGCACCCACACACACACACACACACACACACACACACACACACACACACACACACACACACACACACGCACACACCTTCCTCTCCCTGCGGTGTCATTGTTTTCTGCGAACGTTGCAAAGTGTTTACATTCTGCATAACAGCAACCATAAACCTTGCCCTCCTATTTCTCCTCTCGGCCTTCACTACTTATTTTACTCGTCTTCATCCTCTCTTTTTCACATTACCCTCTAGTCTTGTCCTTTTCTTCATCATTACTTGGGGATATGGAACAGGTTTGAGGTGTTACTTTGTTAAATCTCTCTTTCATCTCGCCTCCCATTTCATCTCTCTTCGCCTGCCCTTCCTATTTTTATCACTCGGACCCCCCTCCTATCTTCCTCTTTCATCCCTCTATTCTACATGCATCCTCTTCCTCCGCGTCCTCTATCTGTTACTCTCATATTATTTTTATCCCGACCCATTCTTCTCTCTGTCCTCTCCTGTCCTTTCTTTCGGCAAGCAGCTCTCGGCCGGTGCCTTAAAAAAACTCTCCTGTAACTTATAAAGTCGTCGCTCGCAACCCCTTCTTAAAACTTTAATCTGAACGTCATCATTTATTTTCTTCGAGGTGCTAAA